GTGTGTGTGTGTGTGACTGTGTGTGCATCAGGGTGTGTATGTAGTGAATATCAGATTGTGTCATCGGTGGCCCGGTAGCAGGCTAGCTAGCAGCTCGCGGTTTCACCGTTCATGATATGCCTGCTGATATGCCTTCAATCAACTCCCAGATCATACTTCGAACTCACCCGGGAATGAACCAATGTTCCTGCAGGCGTTCGGCATCTCTTTCACGGCAGTGGGTGCTGCAGAGAAGCAGCCAGAGTACAGGAGGGTGATTCAGGCCAACCATGGTTCCCGCCTGCAGCACTTGTATGAGACTTTGGAGGATATGCTAGAGGAGAATGCATGTACCAAGCACCCAGATTGCGAGCATTGCCGAATTGATGCACAGGGAGGCATCAGCTTGGCACTCACTGGCAGCCCCTGCAATCCCTTCTCTAGGCAACGAGCAAAACGGTTTCGGGACGAGTCAGTGCTAAAACACCTTATGACAGAGACCACTATGTCTGGCGTTGTTGGGCTCTTTCGAAAGTGGGAGCCTCGTGCAGCTATCATGGAGCAAGTCCGTGGTTTCGACATGAAGACCAGCCAGTCAGATTTGGAAACACCGGTCACGAAGCCCCTGGACTCACTAGACTAGCCAACGGTTAACTAGTCAGATTGCTGAAGTGTTGTCTTTACCAGTCTTGCAATTTGCTGGTAGTCACTGCTAGTCTAGTGACACAGTGACACCCTCGACCCACGATGAAGAAGAGCCTGTGACCAAACCGTCCTTGCTCTTCAGGTTTCTGAAGATCATGGCCGCCCAGACCTGGAAACACGGTGGATATTGGGTTGCCAAGCTGTATCTGGATGCAACTGATTGGATCCAGATCAGCCGCCCAAGGACCGCCGTTACGTACTGCAGGGATGGATAGGTGATACCAATACCAGAAGCCAGAAGCCAGTAGCAGTAACAGTAACAGCAGCTAGCTAGCAGCAGCTAGCTGCTAGATCGGACAGGTAGGACCTGGTCGGAAGTCTTTAGCAGCAGCACAAAGCCCTGAATAGCCGGAACCCCTATCCTAGTGCTGTTTGCTGCAGTTTGGACTGCGGAAGATAGTGTCGTCGTAGCTGTAGCTAGGTATGAACCGGGTCGGTGCAGGGCAGGGAAAATAAGGAACTAACTAAGGGCTGAGGCTGTAACTTAGGACTGTCGTGAAGCCAATGCTGTTCGGCTGCGGTACCGGTACCTCGTAGCTGTAGCTGCTACTCAGTTACTTGTAGCTGCAGTTGTTGCTGTAGCGGTAGCTGGTAGGCCTGGTAGGTAGGTAGCAGGTAGCTGGTGCAGGTAGCAGGTAGCTGTAGCTGCAGCTGTGTCTCCACTGCGTTATTCAACGAAACCCTGTGCTCAGGCTCAGACACAGAGAGTGCGGGATTCTAATCAGCTACGATTCTAGCGGACAGTGCTAACGAAACCTAGAAATCTCGCAAACACTGAACCTTGCAATGAATTAACCGCTGTACCTAAGGCCTTACCTACCCTACCTGCCTTCCTTCCTTCCTTCCGACCTACCTACCTACCTACCTACCTACCTACCTACCCACCTACTTACCTACTATCTGACTATCTATATTAAGTATTTATATCTATCTAAGTATTTATATCTATCTAAGTATTTATATCTATCTATCTATCTATCTATCTATCTGATCTATCCAGACTGCAGCAATCTAGCCGAATCTAGCCGAATCTAGCCATCTAATCTGATCTGGCTAGCTTCGCACCCCTGCCTGCCCTACCTGGACCCTTGACCGAAACAACTTGAAGACACATAATCCCGAAAGTCAAAGAGTCTCACGGCAAGCCTCAACCCCACTCAGTGGCATGGCTGATGGTCTTGCCGACTTGGACCTGAATTCCCTTATCGATGGCCTGCTCGACGCGGGCGCCTCGCATGAGGATGAAGCTGACAGCGGTGACAGCCAGCCAGTTGATGGGGCTGCGCAATTGGTGCCTGCACAGCTAAACCCACACGGGTTAGAAGCAGATGAGTTACTTGACCTCGTGAGCGATTTGCTGCCTCCAGTTTCTGAAGAGTCTTTTCGACCAGCTGCGAATCCTGATCTACGTGATATCTTTGGCCCACGAGCTGCATTGTCTCAGCTAGGGGACAGCTTTCAGCAGCAGATGTTCAAGCGCTACTGTGCTGCTACAAGCGCTGGGAACGGTCATGAGAGGCCAGTTCTGCGGAAAGCAGTGGTAGCGGTGACTGATTGCTTGGTTCGTTCTGGAAGGCACCGATCTATGTCAGCGATACAAGATCAATCAGGGACATCACGTCGCTCGCTGCAGCGAACCCTTTTTCAGCTCGCAGCAGTTCTGCTGCATGGTGGGTGCTGGTTGGTAGGTGCCATGCTGGGAATGTGTTCTAGATGGTTTCAGAGCAAGCGGATGCAGCCAGTCCTGGCTGTGAACAAATTCCGATACGACGAGACCCCACTGCGCATGAGGCTTGCTGAGCTGCAGCAATTCATCCCTGATTTTGTGCAGCGTGGTGGACACTTGTCAGAGTCCTACAAGTACGTCAAGATACTTCGAATCGACTGGACCCTAGGTTCCTTGGCACTCTTCTGATTCTACAAAGTTGTCTAAACGGGCATTTTTATCCCTTGTTATTTTCAGTCATATGGCCACAGGGGCACAGGGCCTCCATAGGGCAAACGGCAAACTGAAATCATTCTGGATCGTAGGCTTGTTGATCTATGATGTTGCCACGCTTGGCCACAGACTCATCACAGTGGACATTCCAGTGGCCATGGTTCCACTGGAACGGACAACAGCAGAAACACAAGCCGCCGCGATTCGGTCTGCTATGGCACGTGTTCCAGATCTCCATCGGCACCTGTCGCTCTACCCCGAGCAGGTACGTCTGGCCTGCATCGACAGATACGCCGCGAACCTGAAGGCCGAAGATTCTTTTAAGTCTTCGCAACCTGAGATGATCCGCACGATTTTTCCTTGTGATGTGCATAAGGCATCGGCCGTCATCAAGAAAAGCCTTCGACCGTTCGAAGAGGTGACATCGGGCTTGGTGCACACCGGGTTGAGCATGGAAGGCGGCGGGTCCCTGGCAGTGCTGAGGCAAGTACTGCAGGAAGTGTTCGAGAACGACCTTTTCGTGGAAAACACACCGGCACCTGGGGGCTCCATTCGAAATCACACAAGACAAATACTGGATCTTTTTTGCCCCACTCATCCTGGTGCTTCCTCACCCCTGAAGAACATGCAGCGCCAGTTCGTGCTGCAGTATTTCTGCAACAGTGACATCACCCAAGAGCGCATAGTGCACCACTGCACATTCTCCTGCTGTGCCAGCAGGCAGGAAACGGCAGATCGATTCGCTACATCAGTGGTGCTTGCGTTCCTGCCACGAAAGTGCCCGATGCTCAAACGCAAGTCATGGACTGACGCAGAGCAGCCAATGGAATGGACTGGGTTGCTACAGTCGTTCTGGGGCCTTTTCACGAAGGTCATGGTGAAATTCACGGGATCAGCGACAGCCGCTCCAGTGGCAAGGGTCTCTGAAGAGCATGATGAAGACGAGGACTTTGGCCAGGGCGAAGCCGAAGCCGCAGCCGCCGATGCCAGAGTCTTGGATGCAGATGCTGCCACCGCGGAGGATGTCTTGGAGTTGGTAGATGGCATTCTGGCACAGGGATCCGGCGTGGGTGAGGCTGAGACTGGAGATCAGGACGAGGCCGCACCCATGCTGCCAGACGGTGAAATCGATTGGCATGAGCTGCAGCTGCGACGCAAGAAGAAAGCTGGTGTTTTCGCGTGTCGTGCATCTCTCATGGAGAATCTTGGCCGTCTTGGCCTTTGGATGTTTTGTGAAGGTGAGATGAGAATTGTAACAAACACCCAGATTTCAGCTTTCAAGCAGCGTCTTTAAGGGTTAAGGCTAAGGCGGCTAAGGCTAAGGTTAAGTTTAGAGTTTAGAGTCTAGCTAGAGTCTGGAGTCTAGAGTCACGAGTTTAGGGCCAGGGCCAGCGGTTGCCAGGGAGCTCGGTTCCACAGACCCGCCCTACCGGCCCTGCCTTACCGTCCTTAAGTCTAGTCTAGCCGCTCTAGCCATAGTATCAGGACGCATTTTGAGTATGCATAAGCGAAGCAAACCTAGGACCTAGGACCTAGGACCTAGACTCTAGACTCTGGAAGTGACTATGACTAGGACTAGACTAGGACGTATATGTTGTTTTGTGAATTGTGGTTTTCAGTGTTTTTCAATGCCAGCTTGAGTCGCCACACCCAGGAAACTGGTTTGTGCCAGACATGTGGCGGAGCCAACACGACTGCTCATGGCTCGACTCTTGAAACAATCTGGGGAGGAGTGGGAACTTGAGCAGCAGCGTCAAGCCCAGCGTGACGAGCCACGGACGTACAGGCTGCTCGAAGCGGCCCGCTGCAGCCTTGTGGATCGAGTGGTGCACGACATCCATGCTATGTTTCCTGACAAACCTGCCGGATTACCAGTATGTTGTTACACACGGCGGGCCCGTGCTCTGTTTTTTGCAGGCCTGTCTGCGGCTTTGTGCAACCTTGACTTCTACCTTGGTAGATCTCACCGAGGGTTCCCGTACGCCTTGTTTCGGGCGGTGGATGCCAGCAGCTCGGATGCCGACAGGCAGGAATTGATAGACCGCCCGCATTGCATGCGGGACGAGTTTTCCCACAAGTTCCTCCAGAAGTATTCAACTCCCCAAGCTATGTCGTCACAGCGTGCTCGTGCAGTGCTGGAAACGGTGTGTCTCCTGGCAGACACAGATGTGGCTCAGGTTGAAGCAGGACATGCGTCTGTCCGCGAGTTTACAATGCAGAGGGGCAGAGGATATGTGCCGACACTGTCAGAGGTGAGCGCAAAGAGCCTCTGCAGATGGATCAACAAACATCATGTGAAGATAGCAGAAGAGACGGACAAGGAGGCTAAGGCCCCACGGGAGGAGTGAGTAGAGTAGAGCACGGTCAGTCGTCCGGTCATAGAGTCATAGAGGGCGTTTTGGATTTTTTTGATTTTCGTTCAACAGTGTGTGGGGTGGGTGGGCTTGGTTGGCGGGAAGGGAAGTCGAATTGAGGTTGACTCGGTTGACAGGTTGACTGGGTTGATATGACCTAGACCTAGACCGAGACCTAGACCTAGACCTAGGCCCTAAGTCTCAAGTGGTTGGACTGAGTTCGGGTCTCGGCCCATGTTCAGGAGTCGCTACAACAGAATAAAATAGGAATCATGCAAGCATCTAGTAACTTGGTAGCTGCTAGCTGCTCGCTTCTAGCTACTAGCTACAATGAGCAGTGAGCAGTGTAGTTAGTGTAGTTCATGCCCACGAGGTGACCAAACGACGAGCCATCAGTGCTTGGGTCGCCTTTCTGTCTGCGAAGCTGCGCGGCCAATGTGCCATCAAACGGTCAATTCTTCGAGATCTTTCTCAAGAGTACAAGCAGCTGACTCCGGATGAAAAGGAGAGTTGGCGGGAGGAAGCAGTGCGCTTGACTTTGGTAAAGCGGTATGCAGCTGACGAGCAGTTGCAGCAAGTCACAGCGCCACGTGCCAGCTTGGGAAACATGTCCGTCATGGAGGTTCTGCAGACAGACTGTTTGGTAACCCAGATGCCTGCGTGCAACTTCCGGGAAAGGTTCCTAGCCTTCTGCGACAAAGTGAACGCCGACGCCCGTGCAGCCAGGGAATTGGCAGCTGGCAAGAAGGTACCGCTTCGGCCGGGTTTCGATTTGGTCGAAAGAGATGCAGGCCTGGCTAATGCGATAGTTCGGGCCGGTGGAGAAGGCATCCTGGATGGTGCAATGGAGCTGCCAATGCCGCCGGGTTCCCACTTGCAACGGTACTCTTGGCGCATGCCTGTTCTTCCGATGGCCGAGGACACCGCAAATCGGGACTCCAGATTTCAGATGTGGTGGTGGGTCTTGTCGTAGGTCGTGGGACGTAGGAACTGTCATCGTACGGTAGGTGTCACTGTAATGATCGTCGTTAGGGTTGTTTATCCCCCCATACTGACAAATGAGTAATGACAAATAGCAATAATTTCAATAATTAATTGTCACTAATATTATTAACAACCATAATAAATACTAAGTGGTTCACTTCATTTTTTTGGAGCAGGACGTGCTTGCGAACGCTGGGCTGGAAGCGGGTGTCGCTCTGCCTGTGTTCGAGGACCGCTGGCACCAAGACCACAACATTGTGCAGCACGAGCAGCAGGAACGCATCCATGTGGATAAGACCAAATTGTTTCAGGAGCAGCCGTGCTTGCAACTGGGTTTCTGTGTGTGCAGCAAGAACGAACATCAGAAGATGAACAAGGCTCTGATCAAAGCCATGAAAATGTTTTTCAAGAAAGTGAACAAGGTTGCGACGCTTCAACGTCGCCTTCTGGATGATTGGCGTGTGGTTCTCCACCTGTGCAGTCTTAGCGTGGCCGAGGAATCCACAGAGCTGTTTTTGCACTTGGGGGCATCGAATCTGCGAACATGGGAATTTGTGTGCTTGCGGCTGGAAGAAGATGCAAGGGAGGATACGTGCCTCACTCTTCGTGTCTGTGGCTGTGATGCAGCTGAAGTCATGGAGATAAAAAGCTTGCTGCATTTCCTGGTGACTTACCTGGACCCGGCACGACCATGCAGAGCTCAGTTCATGAAGGTTTGCTCAGACGCCAAACGAGTTGATGGTGACAGGATCATGCCGATGTATGTGGACGTGGAAAGTTTGCAGCCGCCAGTTCAGTTTTGGGCTGGCGACGATGTGGCCGATGATGATGAACAGCAGCCAGTGGACAGGGATGACCAGGAGGAAGAAGAAGACATGTGGCCAGATGAAGAAGCAGCACAGCAGGATAACGACGAGGACGACGACGAGCCTGATAAAGAAGACATGGCTGAGCAGCAGCTAGATCTCGATGAGTTATTTGCCTTTGCCGAAGCGGCTGCACAGTCGGATTTTCTCCCTGAGGACCCTTCTTTGGATGATGACGACGACGAGCTTTGGCGAGCATTGGATGACCTCGTGGCTGCACAGGCAGCTGACCCAGGAGGCCAGCCGGAGCTGGAGGCGCCGTGTGCTGCTGCTGCTGCTGATGATGGAGGCGACCGCGATGGCCGAGAGGGCCGGCCCGAGCCGGAGATTGACGACGGTGCACGTCCTGGGAAACGTCCTCGACGTGCGGCAGTTGAGCGAAGACCCGCGCACGGTGGGCGAGCAGAGCGGCAAGCGGAGCTAGTCTTTGACATGGAGGAATTCGGTCTCCAAGCTGAGATTCGCTTCAATGCCAGAGGGTTCTTGCGAGCTCATTGCAAGTGTCCGGGTCATGGACAGTCGTGCAAACGCCAGCGGCAGACCACTGCAGGCCGCGCAGGGGCAGGACGCCCCCTGGGATCTCTCATCACTTGGTTGAGGGCTGCAAGCCAAGCGAGCAACCAGGCAGAGCATGTGGCTATGGGCACGGAGACGCACGCGGCTCGTGCTGAGGCTCGTGCATGGTTTCAGAGCCTCCCAGGTGCAAATTTGATGTTAGAGCAAGAACGTCCTCGCGGCCCAGACGAGCCTGCAGAACCTAGGATTCTTCCGTAGGTGTGCAGAGCGTGCAAGCAAGGACACCAGTTTCAGCGTCGCGATCAGGTACTCTAGACTCTAGTCACTCTAGTCACCAGTCAAGTCTACAGTTTACCAGTTACTAGATTGCAGACTTCTGACTTCAGTTGCTTGCAGCACCGTTCCTGAAATCGGGAATCCTGCGTGACAAGGCTGTGTTCCCGAGGGATCGTAGAATGGCCCATGCCGATGCCCTTAAAGTCACGCTTGCAGAGACATTTTGTCCGACAGCGATGCCCGATGCCCTGTGAAAGAGCGCTTCATACGATCATGTCACTGCTACCGGTGCCGGGTGCTATCGGACTGAGATTCTGAGATCAGGCTGCTATCCGTTCATACATCTCCAGACTTTGTAGTAGCAACAGCAGTTCCTACACAGTTCCAACAGCCTAACCGTCCCAAGAGTTGTAGGTAGGGCTGTTCGCTGCAGAAGCTCGCATTGCGCAGGATGTTCATCTGCTTCTTCCGGAAGGACATCTACACTTGCGAGGAAGTGAAAGATTTCAAACGCTGTGTGGAGGCCCGCCCGATTGGAAGTGTCCTTCAGGATTGTCTTCTTTGTGAGTTGCATACGAACGTATGACGTATGTGACATGTCTATTCTATACTACATACTATATGAAAGAAAGATCTATTACTATAATCTCTAATGTCTACCAGGAGTCTACCATCTACCAACATGCTTCTGCGGCTTGTGGCTTATATAAAACATGACACACACACGGGCCTGGGGCTTTGGGTTTGTTTCCTTCCTATAAACTAGTGAATCTATAGGCTTTGGTGCCTTGAAGACTATAGTGGTACTGTACCACCACCGCCACCACCACTACCGCCGCCGCCGCCGCCGCGACCACCGTCGCCGGTCACCGCCGGCTATCGGCTATTGATTGAGAGGCTGTTGGCAGCAACCAGTAACTAGTACCAAAATTACAATAACAAACACTGATGCTGTTTTGCTGCTACTTAACTTGGTAGCTGCAGCTACTTGCAGCTACTTAGTTGCTGGGTCCATTTGGCCACATGTCATTGGATTGTTTTTTATCTGTCTAGACTTTCCAAGGCTGTGTCCTGAAGGCCCGTGCTGCAACAGACTCACTATGTCGTGTCGTCGTTCACTCTGTATATATATATATATATGACGGATTTCTTGGATGGTGCACCCGGGGCTGTTGCGGCTGTAGCCTGCAGACTTGTATAGTACATGGTACCCAGTAGACTGAGTTACTTGCTCAGCTGATCATTCAGTTTGTTATGGCGCTTCCTGGCACACCCGTGCCAACCTTGATCACAGAGTG